AAGCCAACACATACTTAATAGATCGTAAGCCTAGCACAGGATGATTTTGTGTAAAACCACAGAGATCAAAACAATGCCTGAGCCCTTGCCTAGAGCGTCTGCTTCCAGGGGCCCTAGGGTTGGAGGCAGAATCAGTTTCTTGCAGGCTTGTCTCCAGTTAAGTTGTCTTGCTGCTTGTCAGCCAGGACTCACTCTCAGCAGGTGCTAGCGGCTAATGTCCTTTACACGGGCCCCTTTTCATCTTCAAGCAATGAAGGGTACAGAGAATCTTCCCTGTGGTTCTGCTCTCTCTGATTTCTTCCTCTGGACCAGCCAGAGGAAGAAGTATGCTTTTAAAGGCCTAGAATGGTTATGCTTGCCCAGTCAGTTAATCCCCCTACCTTTTAAACAACTAATTAATTACCATAGTTAATTAGCAAAATCCCTTTTGCTGTGTAAAGTAACATAATTATCAGGACCTGCATAGAATTCTGACTAACTCACTTGCACTCACTCTCACAGACCTTCACTGGATTCAGTTTATAGGTTGCATAGCAACATGGCAAATCATTTAGAACATTACACATGAATTACCATAATGCATTATATTTAAGTTAAATTGGGCTTATTGTGAATGCGACATAAAAATTTTTATGTGCTAAAAATTTATAAATGAGTCTATAAATGTTTCATGTAATAGAGTATATAAAATGACAAGGTTTTAAGGACTGCTATGAATAGTTTAGCTCAGAACTTTTGATTCTTTGACAGTGAGTAGCATACCACCTCAGCGTAGGCTGTTAATCACAATCACGCGCTTTTGTACACTAATAAGACAAACTCAGACTTCAGAAAGAAAAGATGCCAGATGTCATCTGCTCTTCTCTTTTTGCCCTTATCTTCGACAGCTAGCCACAGACTCAGAGAAAGTCCTAAAACCAGCTAGTTAGTGGTTGTGACTAGGCAGAATGTGTCAGCTGTTCCCTATCTGGAACCATAACAGTGAATCAGGTGTTCTTCCAACCTCTTTAGATGCGTGTTTTCTTTAACCCTTACCTCTGTTCTGCCCATTATGTGTTATAATCTCACAGTTTGAAACACAGGCGTCTTGCTCAGTGCCATGTGTGTTAAGAATAGAGAAATAATCTGATGCGGGAGCTAACTGGTTTGAGGCTGATGCTTTTTCCCACTCCACCAGGCTACTTCTCTAGGGCCTTCTCCGTACCATCTCACAGTCTGCTGCACAACTACTCAGGTAGTTAGTTATATGCTAACAATAAATGAATGAGTAGCAGAGAACTTGGAGTCTGGCACTCGGGGGTACATTCTGGCCCTGTCCCTTACTGTATGGCTTCAGGGAACCTTGTGATGTGCTGGACCCTCAGATGCCTCCTCTGTAGAAGTGGGAATTTTCAGAGTTATGAAGAAGCTATGTGAATGAAGCAATTGTGACAGAGGATCCATGCACCTTTTTAAAATGTTGTTATTCTTAGCTAAGTGCTGTCTGATTCTCATTGTTGGACTCTAAGATCCAAACCGGGGGACTCAGAAACACTCATGGACAGGGGATTCGATGCAATAACAAGAGGTTTATTGATAACTGATAATCAGTGCACTGGGGTTCCCTCACACGTAGGCAAGAGGGACCCCGAGCCATAGCTAAGAGCAGTCTTTATACCATTTCCACAGAGTTTATGAGGGAAGTTTTACAATCATCTCTTTAAACAATAACCACAAAGGTTGACCTCAATAGCCATTCCCAGGCCCAGTTTCTAGGTAACTCAGATTATCACATTATCTTTATAACAATGAGTGTTAGCTAAGAGGCTTCTGTTTGCCCAGGTGTATTACTTTAAGGGCCCAGCTTCCTGATTACCTCTTATCTTGGGCCCTTCCTCTGGAATGTGTAAGTCTTTGGAATGTACTTTTCCCGGGATGTGTCCTGGGGCAGTTAATTTTTGAGTTTAAACCGAAACCTGAGATTCTTTTAATTTTAAGTTTAAACTGAGACCTGAAATTCCTACACTTGTCATCCATTAACAGCATATTTTCAAGTCATTCTTACTTGGTAGTGTCAGATTAAGTAGAAAACAATAGACTTTGGAATTGCTGAGTCTTGGTCCTGAGACCTTTAGGAGCTTTGGTTCCTTTGCAGGTCACATGTCATTTCCTTGTCTGTATCTAGAGCTCATCCCACATCTCAGATGCCACTGCAGTGTGTCACAGTGCACTGTGTCACAGGTGATGGCAACTGTTCACTGGAGGCAGCGCTGACTTGCCCTCACACAGGCTTCCCCATGTCAGCCTAGTGTTCTTATGATTTCTGAGGGGAAAGAGCATGCTGCTTTGTGATATGGCTATTTGAAAGATCACGCTGGAATAAAATGGTAGCTATTAAGGACGGACAGATGTGTCACAAGGTAAAGGGCTTTCTGCACAAGTGTGAGGACTGGAATTTGGATGCTAAGCACTGGAGAAACGTAAACCTCAGGGCCACCGTGGTGGTTGCTTGTAATGGCACATCATTAGAGCAGGGTGACTAGCCCGTCATCAAGCTGAGTTCAACTGAGAGAACCTGCCTGGATGAGCAAGGTGGAATGCACCTGAGGAAGACTGCTGAGATCAGCCTCAGGCCTCCACGTGTGTGCATGCATGCCTACACATGTGCCCATGTATATGCAAATATGCACATACGTGCATGCACCACACACGAAGACATCTGCAGAAAAGTCATTGTAGTAGACTGATGGATACAACAGTCAACTCTTCTACTGCACCCTTTTTAAAAACATTCTTCTTAAGCATGTATATATTTGTTTTGTTTTTCTATACCATTTGAAAGTAAATTGCAGGTAACAGAAGATTTTGCATTCAAATATTTAATATTTGTACTAGTAAAGAATTTATATGGCACCTAAAAGTTTAGCAGCTTTCTCATCTAATCTAATATCCAATCTATATTCAAAATTTCCCTATCTTTCTTAAAGTTGTGTATGATTTTTGTTAAAAATGAGTTAATTCATTTTGGTTTTAAAAACAAAGCAAAATCCATATACCCAACGTCACTGAATTCCAATCTCCTTACTGTTTTCTAATCTAGAAGGTTATCTTACCTAGTTTGCTTGTTTTCATGGTGTTAACTTGTTCAGAGACTTGGCCAATTGTCTTGAACAATATCCTGTATTTGGCTCTGTCTGGCTGCTTCGTGTGTGCATGCTACTTGTCTTGTGACTTTACTGTCTATGCTTTTCAAAAACTGGAAGACTTGATTGGAAACACATTGTATATTTTTGTCCAGAACAGCTTGGTAGATGATTCCATATGCTTTACATCAGGAAGGTTGCATATGACTGTTCCTGTTCTCAGTTATCAATGACTTGGTTAAGATGGTGGTGGCTCCATCTCCCATGATGAAGTATCTTTTCTCCCTTAATAATTAGAACTAATCTAATTATGAACTGATTGTGAACTGATTCACTAATTGTGAACTGATTACTTAGCACGTACACTTTTTTCATGGTCTAACTTTTAATGGTAGCCTCCATTGGTGAACCATGCTAAAATCATTTATTCCACTGGAGGCTACAAATTAGTGTTTTAAGTCTGTCTATTCAAGTGTTTCAGAGTGGAGCAAACATAAGAAAGTTGGTTAAAAGAATCTCATCACCTCAGTAGCACCAGCATCCCTCATTGTTGGGGGAAGCCTTATAGATTTTGTTTGTTTGTTTATTTGTTTTTTTTCTTTTTTACCGTTGATCAGTACAACATGTTTGTTATTCATCTAAAAAGCATCTTTTGATTGGCTGAAAATCAGTCATAACATGTACCTTGTGTCTACTCTAAAGCATCTCAATGTGTATCAGAGCTGGCAGTGAAAAATGGGTGAAACCAAAAGCAGTGTTTTAAAGTGGAGCGAATCTAAGAAGCTGGGTGCGAGTCTCACCACGTCCGTAGTACCAACAGCATTTAAAAGAACTTACTAATACCAGCTGCTGGAAGAGTGTATCACATGCCTGTTTATCTCCAGATGCTAACACCTTTGGCAGTCTGTGGGAAGCAGATGAGTAGAATGTTGGTGGTCTCTCTGCTCTTGATGGTCTGGGCTCTAACACACACTGTACTTCCCACCAGTCCACACCTCAGTCATGGCCCTTCCATTCTGCACATGCTCACTTCGGGTTTTCTCCACACAGTTTCTCTTGCTCAAGACACACTGTTCTTTTCCTATAGTTCCAGCTGACACATTGTTCAAGCTCAGCTCAAAACCTACTCCCTCCCAGAAGTTCAGATCTTTCCAGGCAGCGTGTCTTAGCTCTGCCATGTGTGCATTCTCCCCTCCTCAGCCCTGGTCCTCTGGAGGCCTTCTGTTGGAAAACTCCACTAGATAAAAACACCGTAGCACTCACCATCCAATGTCAAGAATTTGGACAGCGCTTCACATGGTACTTCAGGAATTTTATACTACACAGTTATTCTGGACGTTAACAGATGCAAAGCCACCATCCTGTAAGGCTCTCTCTTTTGTATAGCTTTCTCTGCCTTTTCCCATCCACTTCCCTAAAAACTTTTTGTAAAAGGTAAAGTTAAAAATCTCCCACCATCTGGTTCTTTGTAAGTAATATGAAGACCTATTTCTTTCACTAAGACAAAAGGATTGAGGAGAAAGGTAAGCATAAATTAATTTTGCATTTGAAAGTTACAATGAAAAACAAAATGAAGAAGCATAAATTGATCTGATATTTAAAGTATTACAATAAAAATAAAGCTTATTTTATTATCCTTAGAGTGAACCTTTTTGTTTCCTATGTTAATGGTTTGAACACTGTTTCAAGTGGAAATAAACAGTGGTTCTTTGTGCTGCTCACTGGGGAGACATTGTTTAGAAGTGTTTTAAATGCCTTGTTCCTCAGAAGCACTGCCTGTCTGCAGTCCTCCTCATTTGCAGCCTCCAGGCGCTTACTGGCCCGTTCTGTAACCAGCAGTGACAAAACTTTGATGCCTTTGGATTTCTGTCTCTGCAGAAGGAGGAGGTAAAAAGCTACGAAGCACTGTCCAGAGGAGCACAGAGACTGGGCTCGCAGTGGAGATGAGGAACTGGATGACGCGCCAGGCCAGCCGGGAGTCCACCGATGGCAGCATGAACAGCTACAGCTCAGAAGGAAAGTGAGTATGGCCACGTCCACGCCCTCCAGCACATCCTCTCGGCCTTGGTCTGCTCACACAGTGCTAACTCACGCGACTCACGGCCCATTTCCATCCTCGGCTGATTCTGTGAACCTGTTTCACCTTCCACTGAGCAGCTGACATATCTGGCCTTTTATTCTGAATGAAGTACCTTGGGGGAGTTAAAATACTTTTCTTCCATGGCACAACGCTAAGAAGTGACTCTCAACATTACCTACAAATAAAATAGTTTGTCCTAGCTTAAAATAATAAAGCCACAGATACAATGAGCCATGCGTGCAGCGTGAGCAGTATTAGATGCCACCCCTCGTGGGCAGTATAAGCTTTTTAAATCTTTGATCTGGAGCCTGGAGACATGGCTCGGAGGTTAAGAGCACTGATTGCGGCTCTTCCAAAGGATAGGAGGCTTCACCCTCATTCCCCACGTCATGGCTCCCACCCATAACTGTAGTTCTGGATCAGACGCCATCTTCCAGCCATGTCAAGCACTGCATACACATCCGGCACAAACATGCATGCAGGCAAAACACCCATACACAAAATAATTTTTAAACAATTTTTAATGTAAAAAGTCTTTGATCTGTTGAAGAGATGCTATTGAAAATTTAGAATATTTAATTCATATTTAGTTTTATGTACTGAAAGTTCTATTGTTTACCTTAATTATATGAAACCAACAATCAAAAGGCAGTGGCAACAGAAAGTTGGTAAACTTCTTCTCTGTGTAGCGCTTCTTTGAATCCACTACTGTAAGACACTCGGAAAGACTGGCAAGCATGGGGTAGCCCTGTCTCTAACAAACAGCAGTACTCGAGACTAAGGATCTACAGGTGAGGTGCAGAAGGCATCAGGAGAGGAACGTAAGGTCCGGAGCCCACTCTGCCATCGCCATGGGATTGCTCAATGTTCAGACACATATAGCCAATTTATAGATGCAAAACCATAGGAAATATTGGCTTACCAATAATTATATCACCCAATGATATTTTCTACAACATGATTATATGAGGAAAGGAACGTAATTCTGCAGTTTTTAAGTACGGCCATATAAACAGGCTGAATCTTTTGACTTGAGGTTAAGGGAAAGAAATAGATTTGGTAACCTCCAAGAAAGCCCAGAAGAGTGGAAGGCTGGCATGGCAATGGCTCAGTCACAGGCATGTGACACACTGGCAATGCACTAAAGAAATCTGGTCTTTCTGGAAGAAAATTGAAGATAAACCTGCTCTGAATTCTGGTCTTCGTGAACCATTGCCAGGGCTATGAAAGTGTTTACTTCATGGCCCCCCACATACAGCTTTATAGTCAAGTAGACTTCCGACTCAGATGTTTATCATCATATTGAAGAAATGATTTGAATACTCATAAATGCATTCAGTAAACATACTAAATATTACTTTTAGCATTCCAGACAGTGTGCTGTGAGTTGGGGGTGTGAGTTACACAAGCAAATCAAACAGAAGTTAAGGTCAGCACAGGGACACTGCAGTTCTCTTCTTGGCTTCTGGCACTTTATTTTCGGGTACATTACGTAATGCCCCTGACATGAAGGTCGCTCACTAAGGCTGACAGGGGTCTGTTGTTTTCAGTACCCTAGGCTCTACTGGGATAGCTGGGGCTCTAGCAACAAACGAAACAGGCAAAGCCTACCTCAATTCAGTCCAAAAGACAAGGGAAACATCAAGAAATTCAATTATAAGGAAAATAGTAAAAATAAATACAGTAAAGTGGATAACATAAATGTTGGTGATAAAAATAAGGCAAGGAAAATAAATGAGGAGGTTCAACTAAGTATCTCTTAAGACCCGACTTCAGATCCCACCATCCCTGAAGAGACGAACCCACTTACTTCCTTAGCTTTTTGTCTTAATTTTTATTACATTTACTGAGAGAGAGGTACAGAGAGAGAAAGAGAGAGACAGAGACAGAGAGAGGGACAGAGAGACAGAGAGGGACAGAGAGGGACAGAGAGGGATGAGGAGTTCCTTCATGCTGTGGCTATGCATGTGCAGATCAGAGAACAAGTTGCTGGGATTTATTCTCACCTTGGGTCATGCAACCACTGGGAATCAAGCTTGAACCTTCATGTTTGGTGGCAAGGGAACTCAGGCACATGGAAAAGATATGAGGTAAAAAGATACAGTTGTCGTGTTTAATGACAGAACTGCCAGAGATTAAGGCATAGTGGCAACGTGGAAGAGAGGAAAGTGAGGGATTTTCTGAGGATTCGGGGAAGGAGATAAGTATGGGCTGGGGAGGAGAATGCAGTCCAGAAAGGGGTTGATTTTTCTTTGTAAGATGGCATGGCGGTGTGTTTATATGCTGATGAGAATGATACAGAAGTTTTTTGCTGTTTTTTTTCCTGTCATAAAAAGGTAAGAGATAGTAGACGATCTCTTAGTGTAGCTTAGAGGATTAGACATGGCAAAGCATGCCATGGCACAAGTGCTCCGTGTAGACTAAGCGTGCGTGACAGAAACCATCTCCCCTACCCCAAAGCCAAGCAAGAGAAGACACATAAACAGAAGCCTACATGGTGTGGAGGCTGCATCCGGTGTCAGGCATAGGAGGCGATGGACTGAGAGCTATGGGAGGTGCTGTGGGGTGCTGAGGTCCAGTGTCTATTAGTGGCGTCTTAGCCTTGCCATGTCAGCAAGGTCAGCAGGAAACTCAAGGCCTGCCCGAATGGAAGGAAGGCTGAGCATTTGTCCTTCTGCTTTCAGTCTGATCTTCCCTGGGGTCCGCCTGGCCTCCGACAGCCAGTTCAGCGATTTCCTTGATGGGCTGGGCCCTGCTCAGCTAGTGGGACGCCAGACCCTGGCTACTCCTGCAATGGGTAAGACTCTGTCACATGACTTCGTTATCCTTTAGATTATTAAAAGGCACCTTCCCTCAATTTCATGCTACTTTTAACAAGATCACCAGCAAGAATAAAGAGTCCTAGGTTTTAACAGTAAATGTTCTCAGTTTTTTCTTTGTAATTTCTGATCATCTTTAAAGTAAGACATCACTGAGAACATTTAAACCTTAAAGAATATGTCTTGGGACTTAAGAATCTATCTAGGGAATGTCTGATGCAGAGTTCTTTGGCACAAGCATTCCTCCTACGTCCTGTGTTTTTCCCCTGTGTGCCCACCAGGTGACATTCAGGTGGGAATGATGGATAAAAAGGGACAGCTGGAGGTAGAGATCATCCGGGCTCGCGGCCTCGTGGTCAAACCAGGTTCCAAGACACTGCCAGGTAAAGCGAGACACTTTTCTGCTATTTCTCATAGTCTGTATTACTTTGGTGTAAAAGTTACCTTTCTTTGCTGAAATCTTCTTAATCAAGAAGTATGTAGAGAACTCTGCTGGTGTACTGCTTGGGGACTGAAGCTGTTTGAATGCGTTCTGAGGGAGTTGTAATTGCGTGACCCAGAAGAGATTGTGCGAGCACATCCATAGTTGCAACTTCTGTCTTTGGTCAGTCACTTGTCACGGTGTGCGCTGCAAGTGTGCTTTCCAGTTAGCTGCTGTTTTATGTTATTCTTTGGTTTACTGGGAACATTTTTTTTTCCTTAGGCATCCTTCAAGTTCTGGAATTAAAATAAAAATAGATTAAATCCACATAGCCCCATAAGCCTACGAATGCTGGCCGCTGTAAGACAAATGTTCAGTCCTGCAGTGTGTAAGAGGCTCTGTCTTAACCTGGTGCCACACGTTTCAGGCATCATTATAATGCAAGTGCTTGAAGCCATAGCTTAGTGCAGACTCTCAATGCGCTGTGTGGAGATCAGGAGATCCAGCACACACAGCTGTGGATCTGAAAGTGTCTGTCCCCAGCACCTTCCCTGACATATTTATGCATTTCTCTCTCAACTCCTCAATTCTTAAAGGAATTTTGAAACAAAGTGATATTACTGACTGTACCACTTTGGGATTATGTTATAAAGATCCGGAGAGTATTTGACATCTTCCCCATAATGAGGCATGTTGAGAATGTGCTTTTCATAAAGCATCTGTCATGTAAGGCTATAGAATTCCTAGTGAGCTGCCATCCCAAGCTACTTCTGAACATAGCACCTCAGAGTCCATCTCTGCTTGACTCACACTGTTACCAGCTAGTAAATGCTTTGAATGGTGAGTGAGCTCTATGGGTAGGTGAAGAAAAACAGCCTCATTTCAAACATGTCTAATGAGATCAAAATGTTGGTGATTTAAAGACTAAGACAATGCTCTTGAATCCTGTTTGTGACTGGGAGCATGTTGCCTTATTTAATTCACATTTAAATCTATACAAGAAGGAGTTGTGGAGAAAAAAAAGACCCTCAAAGGCTATGTCAATATACTTCTACTGAATGGCTGACACATATCCATTGTGGGTCTCACACAGAAGGCAGGCCAGTGGGCTGAGCGCCGCCAGCTCTTCAGTGACGGTGAAGCCACTTGTCCTGTATGAGCTGGGCATTTCACAGCCATGATCATCACTCACTCTGTTTTTTCTCCCAAGCACCGTATGTCAAGGTGTATCTGTTAGACAACGGAGTCTGCATAGCCAAAAAGAAAACCAAGGTGGCGAGAAAGACACTGGAGCCCCTGTATCAGCAGCTCTTATCCTTCGAGGAGAGCCCCCAGGGAAAGGTGTTACAGGTGTGTACTCATGGCTGACCTGACACAGGAAGGGATGTCCATGAACCAGACCTTAGGTCTAGCATCTCTTCTGTAGAATTCTTTCCCATTCCTCATGGCTAGAATTCTCTGTCAGCTGCAAAGCAGTGGCCAGTGCTGTATGGCTGTATTTCTTGTTGTTCCCCTTAAAGGGGAAGTCCCCACAGACATGTGAACCTGGGTCACACTCCAGTTCAGTTTGCTCGTGTGGCTTCAGACACCATCCTGTAGTTTTTCTAATGTAAGCCTGGCCTCTGGGAGTTAAAGGCAACATTGCCATTAATCAGACACCACGTCTTACAGTGACGACCCTTGACAGCAGCTTATTAACTGAGCACATTTTACTCAGTTCTGACTTGCTTCTCTACTGTGATGTGCATATCTATACTAACAATATTTTTATTTTCTGCCAACAGATCATTGTCTGGGGAGATTATGGTCGCATGGATCACAAATCCTTTATGGGAGTGGCCCAGATACTCTTAGATGAACTGGAACTATCCAACATGGTGATTGGATGGTTCAAACTCTTCCCTCCTTCCTCCCTAGTAGATCCAACCTTGGCACCTCTGACAAGAAGAGCTTCCCAATCGTCTCTGGAAAGTTCTACTGGACCTTCTTACTCTCGTTCATAGCAACTATAAAACTGTTGTCACAACAACCAGCGATACAAAAAAATAAAATAAACAGAAGAAAATGCACAGGTGGAAACCCCTGGTAACACTGCATGCTTGGTGTTGTGTCTTCGGAGCCCACGTCTAGGGATACAAAGCAATCCTGTGTTCTCAGAGGAAGTCGTACACATTGCGCCCTAGCAAAGGCCCTCAGGGGAAAGAGCAGAGCTGTGAGCAGAGCTATCAGGTTTGGAGTTGAATGACACTCAAATTTTGGTCCAATCTGAAGCCATGGATTAATCTCAAAGAATCAGTCAGCCCTTTTCAATGACACCTTTATATTTTTATCGTTTTTCTTCATTTATCTGACCCCAAAGCCCTGTTATGCCACAGAAATGGAGCTCTACAGCCAGTAAGCCACATTACAGGCCAAGGAGCAAAGACCTAGGAAGCATCAGGTGAAAAGCAAGAGACCAAAGAAGTGGTCTGGAGCAGAGTCAGCCACCGGTCCTGGAGGGGCTCCAGCAGGGAGAGCGGTAGATTGCGCTGCTCTGGGAGGCATGTCATTCACTAATGCCAAGATGTATTGGACTCTGAAAATCAAAATTCTGTGACTGCACTGTACTGAATGAAATTAAAGAAACTTTTTTGCATGGACACAGATTAGCTGAATATTTAAATTATTTTCTCGGGGCTGCAACTTGCAAAAAAAAAAAGAATAAAAATCAGCCATTTTCAACAATTTATATTATTTTTAAAAATAAATTTCACTAGTGCATGGTTTTAAAATGGGAGAGAATGCAACAGGGTGATACAAAGACACACCATGTTTATTCTTTAATCATAGTCTGTGTTTTGGCAGACATTACAAATGAAAATACTTTGTAGCAGATACTTAAAATTCTCTTTATGTGACAATAAGTATAATATATTCAATTTATTTCATGTTAAATATACAGATCTTATGATGTTCAATATGTGCAAATTTTTCACATCTCTCTCCCTCGTGTCTGCCTCACGTTCTTCTCCCACTTTTAACCTCTTCTTTCCTTTCTCCCTCCTCAGTGAATCACACTCAATACTACAAGTCTTTGACCTGACCCTCTTCTATCCCAGATTTGATTCAGAGCCATAGATGCATCTGAATTCATGGATTTCTCAAATCTGTTCGAGAGCTTTTTTTTTTTTTTATTTCAAGCATGTTGAAAGGATTTTGCAACATGACTTGGGACATAAAGCAAGTCGGCACGCATTTGACAAAGAAGATATCTGAACATTTGCAGTTTACTGTACAGTGCATGGTAATTTTTTTCACCTTAAAGATTCAGTTTACAAGGAAATCCTAAACCACATGGCATTGTAATGTCTGACAAATTTGTTTTTAGCACCAGCATTAGTCATACAGGGGGTTAAGTCTTATTTGTAGGTCTTAGGTTTGGGTTGTTTTTTAATCCGTTAAAGCAGTTTCTTTAGCTGATTTCCATTTACTATGTGAATAGAAACACTGCTCAACATGTGGAACCCTGACACGCAGGGCTGTTTATTAATTCATTTTTCTGTAGTAAAATTAAATTTTTCACAAATTATATTTCTAAAGAAATATAGTAAACATAAATTTGCAACAATTTTAAAGCTCCAATTTTTAGGTGACTCGAGGAAAAGTCAATAGTTATTTGATGCCATCACCAAAAGTCTACACCCCTTAGTCAAAGCCACCTTTGGGTTACACGCAGTTCTTTCCACTGGGTAGCACTGCAAGGTCCAATTTCTCTCAAGGTCCCCAATCAACAGGAAATGTCACTGGTCAATGTAATAAACCACCCATCCTGTCTGTTTCTTACACATGCTTTAATTACACATCCTTAAAGATTGGTTTTAACTTCTTGCAATAGTTTTTGAAATCCGTCTACATCCCATTTGTTTAAATGGAGGCCATGCACACACACACACATACACACACACACACACACACACACACACACACACACACAAACTATTTCTTTTTTAATTCAATGCTGACCATTGAAAACTGTCAACTGTCAAGCTTGATATGGTGCAGAAGTTAAAATGAGCTATCACTCAAAATGCCTTCTCCTAATGTGGTGCAGCATGAATGACACAAGATTGTGTCTTGATTTTCTGAGACCTAAGATGGATCCAGCTGAGGGAGTGAAAAGCAGGAACAATTATCTTGAAATAATGTAGACAGCTGTGTACCAGCAGCAGTTTGGTTTAACAGACCCGTAGTGTCTATGCTCACCCTTAGAATAGACATTTCCCATTCTCCTGACACTAAGATGCAGTCATGCAAATCCTTCCTGCATATTCCTGTACACATTATCCCTCATTTTAATAAGAAGGACATGACTGTGGAATATCTGTACATACTTGTCATTATGCAGTATTTATTTAAAAGTTGGTGTACTTTTTTTTTTAACTTTCACATGTCTGCACCTCAACTTGTGGTAAGTCATGTAAATAGCACTCTGCCAGTGACCGTTGCTGCCCTGTACAAGAGTGTTTCAAGTAAAGGGACTTCCAGTTGGGGAGAATGGGGGGAGGGCAGATTAGTCCTGTAACAAACACCAACTGATGTAAATCAAATTATTCTGGTGATGGTATTTAACACTTTAAATAAAACATTTTCTTTACATATGTGGTTCAGGGTGCTGTCTGAGGTTTGCATGCCCAAGCCTACTTCCCTCCAGTCATCCTGTAAAGTGGTTTACCTATCATTTCCAGACAGCAGCCCCTCCTCCCTTCCTTCCTTATGACATGAATGAGTTTCTAGTTTTACCTCATTGCTGTCAGCAGAATGTGTCTAGAGTCTAGAGAGATTTCTGCTTTTGTCATTAACAGAGCTGGGGTGCTTTACAGTTAAAGGACTTAGCAGCCTGTGGATTTTATGAACAGAATGCATGAGCTTTCTGTTTGCCCTGAGGGTTACGGACAGCAGAGCTGCTGCCTAGTTCTGTTGTTGTGAAGAGGCACCATGACCAAGGAAACTTAGAGAAGAAAGCATTTCATTGGGGCTTGCCTACAGTTTCAGAGGCTTGACCCTTTATCACCATGGTAGGGAGCACGGTGGAATACAGGCCTACTTGGGGCAGTAGCTGAGAGCTAGATTCTGATCTGTAGGCAGAGGGGGGAAGAGCAAGGCGTGCTTAGCCTGGTGTGGACGTGAAACCTCAAAGCCCATTCCCGTCACACGTCTCCTCCAACGAGGCCATGTCTCCTAATTCTTCCCCACAGTTCCACTAACTGGGGACCAAGCATTCAAATATATGAGCCTTTGGGGCCACTGCCCTTCAGGCTGCCACTCTGGGTATGCTGGCCCCTGGGTGAGGTTGTCATTATACTGATGTGTTTCTATTGCAGCATCTGCTTAGCTTTGTGAGGGGCTGGGCACTATTCCCAGTTGGGGAGACATGTGGGAACTTGACCTAACAATCTATCTGAAGACTGGATTGTGCTGTGTGAGTATAAGTGTGAGACACTGTCTCCACATCCTCCTGTGGCAGTTCTTCCTCAAGTTCCACACAAGAGAACCCCAGAAGTTTCCACAGGGTTGTCCAGAGGCTCCATCGAGTCCTCACTGGGATTCATATTCAGTGAGACTGCTCTGCCTCCATCCTTCCAGCAGTTTCCTCTGTCGCTGACCTTCCCTCTATCCCAGCTGCTCACCCATCCGATGTCGCTGACCTTCCCTCTATCCCAGCTCCTCACCCATCCAATACTACTTTCCATTATTCCAAATATGCCCCTACTCTGGTAAGATAATTCTCTTGCTGTCTGAGAACTCCTCTTATAAAGTTCCCACAGAAGCTCTTCACTGTTCTCAAAACTGATCCATCTTGGTCCCTTTTGCAACTCCCAGGAACAGTTCCTGACTAAGGCTTGCACCACGGTTGTCATGGATGGTAAGGCCTTCACATAACAAGGATTCTGCTGCCAAGGTTCCACAACAACGACAAAGGTCTTGATGCTCTTGCCTGGGCTATGACAGGAGTAGGTAAGAAATCAATCACCAAAGATGACCTTTACCTGTACACTTACGAATCATGTGCTCTCTACATTGTCTCCACTGGGCCATCTTGTGAGGTCCTCTATGCCCACTAGTATTTATGAGCAACGTAAGCTAAAGATCATGCATCCACTTCTGGTTTGTGAAATATTTATTGAGTAATAGTATGGGGTAACGCTCAGCTCAGTCATCTTCAAACTTCTAATCTGAAAGTTTGGAAATGACTGAGCAGCTGCCCTCACAGAGCATCAGGCAAGCACGGAAGTCCCTTGGTCTGCAAATGAGGAACAAATTCTCTACCACTCAGATTCTCTGTGTGACTCAACTCAAATCACTTAAGACCACTGGCATTCACTTCCTATTCCTGGAAGTAGAGAGAAGAGCCAGCTACTCTTCTGTCATTAAATCAAAATTCTGATCAGCAGTCAAGATTTATATCCTGAGGCACACATGCTTTTTGGTTTTGTTTGTTATTTCTCCAGTGTTAAGAACAATGTTTGCCGTATAAACATAAATGTTTAATACATATCTGACAAATTTAATTTAGTCCTTGCTTCATTTAGCGGCATTATTCCAGTCAGAACAGTGAACAAAACAAGCATGGCCACCCTCAAGGCGGGTTTCATTTTGCCAGAGACACCCTGGGGGAAGAATTACAATGAATTTATAACAATCCTAATGTAAAATCTCTGGACTGTTGTAGGAACATGTAGTGAAGTGAAGTTAGGGGTAGCTGGCATCTGCAAACAGGGAGCAAACAGCATGGAGACAATGGCAGTGCCTACCCCGAGAAGAGGGGGTAAGAAACCTGGGAGAATTTCATTCTACCACCCCCTTCTCCACAGTGTCTAAAACAGGGACACACTAAAAAGTACCTGTGAGGGAGACAGTGAAGGGATGGATTAATGAACCAGCAGAATGAGTAAAGTTTCAGGATTATTTCTGAATCAATAATTGATGTTTGAAAAGCTAGTTTAAATATATATATATATAATAATTTTTAATTGGGGGCTGTGTATTTGTATAAGTCCAGGTGCCAGAATATAAAATTCCTGGAGCAGGAATACAGTCAGTTGTGAGCTGCCCCA